TCTATAAATACCGTATCCATATGTCATGAACACATTTCTAGAAAATTTTCAGAACACCAATATTAATTTGTTGGAAATTCAATTTGGAAATTTTGGTTGTCAGACAGAGCATTATCAGCCTTTATTAAAAAGATGCTTATTACTAATCTTTTTGAATAAATCAAGTTTAATTCAAGATTCATATAAATTAAAAATTATGTTTTATAATATCTGAAATTTTTTTCTTTCAGATATCATTTTGTCTGTGAAGAATGGTTGACACCAGAAAATAAGTCTAGTGATAAAGTGATTGAGACTGCAAATGTAGAAGACCTTATTACCTTAAGAAGTATGTTTTTCTCTTATGGTAAAGAGCACATTACCGAAGAACACATATGGATATCTGTTTTTGTCAGACCTCAAAGGAGTCGATTTAGGTGAGCTCTTTAAAGGAACATTTTTTAGGATTAAATTCTTAGCTGTATCCTACCTCCCTTTATGAGATATTTGAATATTTTTATAACAGACTTCATTACAAAGTTCTTTTATCTTAATGCTTACAGAACTTTGTAAAGTGATCAAGGTTTTTAATAAGACTAGGTCTTCTGGTGGCTATAATATATAACTCATTGCAAATTAAAAATAAATAATAATTGACACTTTTGTATTTATCCACAGTCGTGCCGAGAGAGTAGGGTGCTGTCTGTGCTTTTTAATTCTAGCTATGATCACAAGTGCAATGTTTTATTCTGGAGTAACTGATTTTGACAGGCAACAGTCAAGTGAGGACTTCAAAATTGGGCCAATCAGGCTAAGTTTTCAACAGGTGGATTTTGTTTTGGACAATTGTTTAATTTAATAATTTGAAATTAATATTTTATTTGCATTTTAAATATTAGTTTTTAAATACTTAAAAGTCTGCTCTCCTCATCCTTAAAGACATTGAAAAGGGCTGAAATGTTTTAATGACAAAATTAGAAACACAAATAACTTATATAGCTTGAAGAATTTCTGTACTATCTTTATTATATATTTAGTGGGGATTTTTTATAGTAAGCTAGTATAATCAACAGTTAATAAATTGTGTACAGCTTTACTACTCAATGGTATCTGCAATCATTACAACTCTACCCCTTGGCATCATCATGACATTGTTTAGAAGGTCAAGACGTTATTTCTCAGAAAGTAATACATTAAGTGATATTGTAGAGCAAACGGATGGGACATGGGCTACTTCAATGAGCACATCTGAACATTTTGATCCCTTAGCCACTAAAGGTAAATCAACAGTTGCTTTGTTTAATGGCTAAAACTGACTTTATCTTTTGCATTTAAATTTCACAAGTAGTAAAAGCTTTAGGGTAATAGGATCAAATGAAGATCTGCCTATAGTTAAATGAAAAAAAAAAATTCCCACATTGTATCCCTGTTATTGCTAGTTGTCAATGAGACACATTCCATGGTTGTCTCAGACAAGATTTCCACTGCAACCCAATAGCTTGGGTGAATTAGTTTTGTATGTAATTAAAGATAATAACATTAGCCCACTCAGTGTCACAGGGTTTAACAGGCCACAGAAGGGGACCTGGTAACCTGCATGCTATGGAAATGAAAAACCGATTAAAATCAGTTTAGTTTCAAAATTATTTGTAATTTCAGTTTGTTGTCATAAAATAATTTTCTGTTTGTTTTTTAATGAAATTTTATTTTACAGCTTCTATTAATAACATGACCAAAATTAAGAAAAAGACTTCATCTTGCCTGCCGTGGATAAGGAAACTAGAACAACAATTGGAGGAGCTGGATAAAATTTTAATGATCAGGCCTGGTATTATTTAACTTTAATGCCCAAACATAATATTAGTTAGTCCTGTGAGAACTTTAAAATGTTGAAAACATGACCTATGAGACTCAATTATTTAATTGTTGTTAGGCCTTTTTTATATTTTATTCTTTTCTTTTCTTGTCTAGTGAATTGAAAAATTTATCTATTTAGGCTTCATAATTATGTCTATACATTTTTATCAACTTTTAATATTCTATTACACTAGTTTGTTTTTCTCTTTCCACAGATGCAGAGGAACTGAGTGGTACAATATCACACAGATGGCGCTATTTGGCATGGTTTGTTGTATTTATCACTGTGACAAGTTGCAGCTTTTTCGTGATACTTTACACCATGGAATGGGGCCAAGATGTCACAGAGAGCTGGTTGTCTACTTTCTTTTTGACATTCATAGAATCAGTTTTTATTGTAGATCCCTTTAAGGTATGGACTAAATATATTTAAAAATGCTAACATTATGTTGTATCTTTGTAAAGATAATTTTAAATTTGTTACATACAATTTTTTGCATTTATTTAAATCTACTAATTAATAACCTAGTATGCAACTTAGGGTGCTGTGTGGCCGAGTGGTCTAAACTGAGCAAATCTCAAGTTGGTGGTCTGGAGTTCACTTCCAGCCTGAGCCACCAGCATCCCGGGTAGATGAGACTCGTTAACCTAAGAGATGGAAACTCTGAAATCAAACCCGGAGATGGAGTCCCGAAAGGCGGATAACATTGGTACAATGAAACATTCCGACAACTCCTGCGACGTCACTGGTGCCAAGCTGTATCATCCAATGATGTTCCCTTGGGCTATCCAGCGGCGTGGAGAGAGGCGATTTGCTGTTGGGAACCAGCTTATAATCCTTGAAGAATAATCCCAGGCCATGTGGATTTCGACCTCCGAAGCCCATTCCATCGTCACATTGTGACGGACGGATGCCAGCAAAAAAAAATGCAACTTGTAGCTCCTCTTATTTGACATTTTATTATAATGAACCATAATCATCACTATTTTAAATTGGGCTTACATTTTATTTATGGCAATATTAAATTATGACATAAATAAATGACTGAATCAAAACATGCTTTGAAATCTGAACATATCAAAATGACCTTACTATATTTAGTCTACTCTAATAAATATTTTGGGCTTTCTTACTGTTACTATTCCAGGTGGTGACCTTGTCAGCTCTACTTGCTATCTTTTTAAGAAAATCTCAAGTTAAGAGCCTTGACAAACTGAATCTAAATATTATATCTTTTATCAACAAGGAACATGGTATTAAAGAAAGTGAGTTCTGCTTGATAATATCTGATATATCTTCTATATCTGAACCTAGTGTTATGTTAAACATGAGCTGGTGATATACATTTATTTAAACATCATTTTTTTTTTTAAATTGTACTATTAGGCTAATAAATTAGGTTCATAATGTTGTCTATGGTTGTAAAATTTACTTAAACCAAAAAACTGAAGGCCAAACAACCAACTTCTTGTACAAATTCTAATTATATGGCTTTATAATTTTTTTCGTAACTAACAGAAACGTGTGGCCAGTGAGCTCCTGTGATTAGACAACTTTAACACCCATTTTGTAATTATGGACTATTGGACATTTGAAAAAAATGGTCTTCATTTCCTACATCATGAGATTTATTATTAAAAAAATGTTAAGTGTTTTTGTTAAGCTTACCTTCCAAACTTCTGTCTATAGTTACAATTTGATCTTTAATAAGTGCCCTGTTTTATTTTCTATAAATCTAATATTGCGTTTTCCAGTGCCTGATCCCCCACGAATGTCTGTTTCATTTGCATCTAGTTTTAGTGATGAAGAGATAAAAGTTGCAACACTAAAACGTAAAGTTCACTTAATGATCAGAAAAATACTAAAGGAGTTAGCCATTCATTTTATATTTCTGCTCATTGTAAGCAGCCTGTGCTACTCTACTCGCACCAACCATGATTACCGCATGTACAAATTAGTACGAACTGAACTAGTAGATGATAAAAATGAAGGCTTCATGTATGTGAGTAAACATTTACTATTTTTGGGAAATATTTATTTATTTATAGGCCCCTCTTTTTTTATAAAACTAATGATAATCCTTGACTTATATTGTAAAGACATTGGTATGAGTATGATCATCTGTTTATTCTTTCAAGGGTCTACTAATTATAGTCTAGTAATGATAGTTATTAATTTTAGTCTACTCATTATGGCCTAGTAATTAAAGTCTAGTAATGATAGTTAAAAATTGTATTCTATTAATTATGGCCTAGTAATTATGGTCTCTTAATTAAGGTCTATTAATTACATGTCATGTATCTTTCAAAAAGAGTGAATTTTTTAACAATATTTCCTTCATTCTATAGGTCAATTCTTCTCTCAAATATTTTGATTGGATATCTGGGAGCCTTGTTCCATGGCTGTTTCCAGTAAAAGATTCAATGGGTCATTCTATTGTCTCAGAAGACAGGCAGTATACAAAAGTCTGGGACTTGTATCGTCTTGGTGCTCCAAGAATGAGACAACTTCGCATGAAGACAGGTTGATACAGATTTGAAATTATTTAAAATGAACCAGTGATTGTGATACTTTGGTTATCATTATATGAATTTTTGAAAAGTCTAAAATGCAGTGACAAAGCATAACATAAATTACCATTAAATTCGTCCTTTATTCTTTCAAAACAAAAATGTACCCATAAGTATTTGATCTTTTATCAATTAAATAACACCAGAAAAAATCCTTTTCGCCAGGGGAAAGGGGTGATAGTTTTTTACTTTAAAAAAAAATGTGTCTTGGATGTGAAATCGGGAAAGGGGGGGGGGGAGGATTACAATAAAGTATAATTTGTTACCATGAGAGGCTTATTTGATACATACAAATAATCTACAAAAATAGGTGGCATTAGTCGCCATTAAATTTGGCTCAATACATTGATGTTCTATCACATTGTTATTGTATCATGTGAAATATTGCATCATCTGAAATATTACAATATATATTTTGACCAAAATGCTTCTCAATTAAATCAGGAATCTGTGCAATAATTCCAGATATGTGTCCAAGTAAAATAGTGCCCTTCAAAGATTGTATCCCAGAATATGACATCTTCGCAGAGGAGACAGGGGAGTTTTGCCTTGGCTGGTCCAAAAAGCCCTGTCCTCAAGTAGACCAACTTAGAGTGACAGCAGATGCTTGGCATTACCAGACTGAAGAGTCCATTTGGGGGATCCCCATTGCTGGATCATATGATGTTTATGGGGGTGGTGGTTATATCGCTAATCTAGATATCAATTTAATGGCGAGTAAATTTTCTTTTCACTTATTTTATATATAAAGATATTAAGTTTATTTTGTTTAACAACATATTTTAAATTAATTAAATAATATAGATGTAACAAAATAAAGAGATGACACACATGTCAACCAAGAAAAAAAATTCATAATTTTTTTTATAACAATAAAACATGAGCTTGAGATAAAAGTATGTCACACTTAGAGTGCCCATAAAATTGTTAGCTGGGTTTAGTTGTCCTGAATGTGACACACAATTTGAAAAAAGGGTTAACATTTTTTTGATTGATTTGGTATGTCAGATACTTACATCAGACGTCACATAACTAAAAAATAAAAAATACTGAGATCAAATCATAAATAACTTGAATGATACAATTTTTAGTGAATTCCACACAATAAAGTATGAATTTTTTAAAGCCATTATACACAAAAAGAATCAGGAGGGAAGGGGGAAGGTAGAATGAAGTTACAGATTACATTTATATAAGAAACGCTTTTTCTAAATTCAGGTTGCGAAAGCTATAGTTAAAGAGATGAAGCAACACTCGTGGATTGACAGACACACAAGAGCAGTTTTCATAGAGTTTACCCTCTATTGCCCTGGTATAAACCACTTTGTCAATGTATTACTTCTAGCTGAGTTTATAGACACAGGAGGAATGGTACCATTTGTCAGGTAGTGTTCTTTTTAAAAAAATTTTTTTTTGCTTATCGAGTCCATATTTCTAAAAAGATTTTCTCCTGAGGGAGAATAGTAAGGAATTTTTTGTAAATGATAGCAGGAAATTTTTAAAAAAGAGTAAATGAAGTCATATTTTTGTATAAACCTATAAATTTAAATTTAGTTATCAATAATTTGTTTCAATCATTTGATAAATTAATATTAGTCCATATAACTATTCTGTAATGAGCAAAGTTCATGTTAACTAGACAAATTTTAGGATTAAGCATTGGGAAATAAACAGTTTGTAAAGGTTTTGAATTTATAGCAAACTGTTGCATTTCTGGATAGGCTACTAACTTCAGAAACTCACAAGCTTTTAGACTGTTTTTAAAAAAAATTGTTATAATTTTATTATATGCATTGATGGCCTTCATAATAGTTTGAAGGGATCAACTCAATTATAAAGCTGCAATACATAATTAGAAGAAAAAAAATGTACAGGCAATTATTTTTTCCAATGTGACATAGCTTATTTTAATTTCAGTGTATATCCTTTCACCATTCATCATCCATCCGGGGCTCTTGGAACATACTATCAGATTTGTGAGATTATGGGGATAGGTAAAACAGCCATAGGTATTGTTTATGTGATTTTTGTACTTTGGAAAAAGAGGTGTGCAGCACTAAAAGAGTTTTGGTTTGTTCTGGACTTGATAGCTGTCATAGTTGCAGTTTTTACAGTAATTATATTTTGGTAAGTAAAATATTTTTTTGTTATGGACTCAAGAGTTTTTTTTTTACTTTACCAGTGCCTAAAGGGATTAAGAAGTTAAAGAGCTATGATTTTTTGTTTAAATTTATATTTGCTCAGATTTTACTACTAGTATTATATATTCATTTTTGAATATGTCTATGCTCTAACAGTCAGAATTAAGCCTATATTATTATTAGGTAAAGTAAAATATGTTGATCTGTTTCATATGGTGCAGTTATTATTTTAATCTTCTAAATTCAGTTCACTTGTATATTATGCCATTCCCCCAGTTTGAGAAACAGTTATGCTGATACTGCCCTCGAGAAAATGCAAGAGGACAGAACTTTGTTCATAAACTTCTACCAAGTTGTTGTTTGGGACTTCAGCTTCATGATCTGTTTGTCCCTGCTCAGTGTCATTGGGTGCCTCAGACTGCTCAAGTTGGCTGGCTACTCCCAAAGAACAATGAAGGTAATAGTCATCAGCTCAGCAGAAGTGTTTGAAATTTATGCCAAGAGATGCCAAGGCAAAATACAAACGGAGTAAGCTTAAAAAGTAAATCTGGGTTGTCTTTGTAAGCAGACAGTGTTATGTTTGTGTATGGAGTGGAAAGACTGCACTATACGGAACAGTAATTTTAAAAAAAAAATAAGTGAAGTGACTTGGAAGATATAAGTCAGCCACATATTTTGCTTTAAGCAGTGACTGTTTGATTACTGCAGATGAAAGTAACCATAGAAACAATGGAATTGATGATTGATGTCAGAAGTTTGAACTTGTATAAAGCATTAACAAAAATTTAATCAAGTTCCACTAATAAAACATCCAAGATGAAAACATTTTTACAACATTTTGCCTTTAAAAGCTACACAATTTTGGAATAAATCAAGAAACATTGATTGTTGGTTTTAGATAGTAATTATGGTATTTTCTGAATAAGTCTCATTAGAAGCATCCAAAAATAAATTCACACATTCATCTATGAAATGTTCAAATGAAAGCAGTCATTAGTTGTTAAGTACAACAATTTTCCCACATAAACAAAAAAAACAGGTATTTGAGTGAGATTTTCCCTTCAGCTAAAAAAATTATCATGTACCGGTACCCGTATAAAAATGAAAGACATTAATTCTCATGTAATTATTATGACTATAATAGTGGTAATAATAAACATCAAATCAATAATTGTTACACCTCATTATGTATGTACTTACTAAAGAACTTTTATGTCATTTTTTTTTGCACTTCATAAAGCTGCCCAGTTCTATAATATATTGTTATGAAAATATATAACTGGTTGTGGGTTTATAAAAATTATGGTACTTGATTTCTTGTACCGGGGTAATACTTTTTAAAGTAAAATTATTGTTAGGAATGGCAAATGCTACTTATGACTTGTGCCTTATTCTGTTCAGACATTATTTAGCCAAAAAACGCATGTTCTTCCACAGGTCTATTATGTTTTGAAAGAGGCTGCTAAGACTTTGCCAAGTTTTGTTTGCTACATTCTTCTCATCCTAATGGTCTTTGCCATGGTGGGGTATATTTTGTTCAGCAGAACCAGTGAATATTTTAAAAACTTTATAGCTTGCATTGAGACGCTTTTTACTGGACTCCTGGGTCACTCAGGATTTAAGGTCAGTGGAAATTTTGTGTGCAGATTTAACAAAATTTATACTCTATCCAAATATGGTAAAAAACACAGGCGTGCGGGCTGAATCCAACCTTCCACAAGTTTCAACTCTCCAGTGTAATGTAACTCAACTTTTATAAATAAATTTTTTTTTTAATTAATCATTTAAATTCTTTGATTTTAATTGCTGACCATCAGATTTCATTGTTTTGTTATTTTCGTTAGTGCACAATGGTTGTATAAAATGCTAAGGAGATTTATAATGGACTAGCTAAAGCCCGCCAAGCAATGCGTGAACTTCCCACGCACTAAAGTTACTTGACAAAACATGCAAATTCAAGTAAGGCATTTTATAAAATTCCCAATTAGTGCCACACCTTCTTATAGTACACCTTGCCCCTGATCTATATTAATATTCTAATGTCCCACCTCCATTTACACAGCAGATTTATTTCACCATTTCCTTAAAGCAAAAAAGAAAATATTACGCACCAAATGCACTTGCAATATTCTAAGAATCTCATTTAGCGCAGTTATAGGAAATTTTTTATAGTGAAGTCAGCGCCATCTGGTAGCGTTAGTGACATTGTTACATAGAGAGTTATGTCTTTTGATTTATTATATAAGATTCACTTGTTTAATTATTTTTCCTTTTTAACATAAAAAAAATATTCATCTCCTCACAGGAAACCAATCTACCAATATCTGAGAAGTGGATCACCATACTTTTTTTCTGTCTTTTTGTCATTTTTGTTGTGGTACTCCTCACCAACTTCTTCCTGGCCATTTTACTGGATTTGTTGACAGCAAGTGCCCAGGTTAAATGTGCTGCCACAAGACCTGAAACCAGTCTGGTCTTCATAGTTCTCTGGGATTCTATTCTCAAGGCACTTGGTAGTAAGAGAGATCCACGGGACAGATTAAGAGATAATACTGGTAAATCAGTGGTATAAATCTATACCAGTATAAATGTACGAAGCCATAAATGTATACCGGTATAAATCTATACCGGTATAAATTCGAATCTGTGGGTGTCTTATTTAGTTTCAAATCAATTACCCATTAGTGTTCAGAGTAAAACTTATTGCAAGTTGAGTTTCAAAATAAAATTATTTATTAACACTAATGATGAGTGTTTAAAAACTTAAAATTTTCACTTTCATTTAAAAAGTAATCAAATTTTACTATCTATTCCCTGAAGTCAGATAAAGTGGTATCAAGTGATGTTACGTAGTATATCATTAAAAAAAAAAGAAAAGATCACTGACATGACACAATGAATAAATTTATCTGGTTATGATTTAACATAATAGTGCAATTTTAAACTTGGAACATGCGTACATACAGATTTGTTGTCATTTTTACCATATTATTAATACAATTGTTGACATAAAAAAAAAAATCCAAAATCTATTGCTACCACAATTTTAAAATATATATATATGTGTGTATTCTAAAAATTTTAATCTCTAGAACAAGAAGTTGCCATAACTACAGAACCAGATTATTTCACATACTTGGATGAACAATTGGAAAAACTTAGCAAGTTGAGGTAAGTATTGCATCAATGAAGAAACTTTAGTTTGCTTAAGAGATACAAACCTATCAGAAGTTCCCATTGAAACATTTTTTGTAAAAATCATGGAATATATAAGATACAAGAAATCTGTTGCATGTTGATATATTTAATATGTCTATGCTTTGGTGTTATAATTTTTTATTTTTTAAATGTTCAACTCTTTTTACAGCATTCCTGATGACAGGCATAGAGAAATATTGTTGCAATGCATTGTTTTGGCAGAAAAGAAGAAGAAAATTAATGGTGATGCTAATGAAACTGCCATTTAGATGAAAGCCAGCAGTGACATATCAGCCATTGAAGAGTTTATCAATTGTTAAATGTATTCTTTTATTGCTGTAAAAACAAATTTATATAGCAGTTACACCAAGACAGATTGGCAACAGTCAGTTTTTTTTAAATGCATTAATTAGTTGTTATATCTCTTAATCAAAATTAGTTTTAAAAACATAAAAATAAACGAATGAGAGGCTTTTGAAAAAAACTTTATTGTGACACTCAACAAATAAAACAACTCAGGTATGGTTAATGACACATCTGAAATGGTTTTAATATTTCATTTGAATATTTTAAAATAAAAATTTGCTGTTATTTTAAAAATACAGTACTTTTAATCTTATCATATATTTACCTAAGTATATTATGTAAGCAATTGCAGTGGGGAAAAAAAGAAATTCTGAATTTTTTGTAATGGTTTCCATTAAATGTCAAATCAAATTATTTTCATTTTCTACTAAGTTCATTGCTACAACCTGAAGTGTATTGCTAGAAACTCACCTGCCACACATTTGAGGTCAGGTTAGAAACCAAGTGGAGGGTTACCTATTTTTCCTTTATCCATTGTCCTTTTTTAAAAAAAATGCTGAATGTATTATTAATGACATTTGTTGTGATAAAATAATGCCATGAATTATTACTAAAGGTTTACATTACAGACTTTACAATACCAGGCAATGGTAACAATTTTAATTGAACATAAAAAGTCAATGGAATTCTTTACCCCAATAACTGGCAGATGTCAATAATACTTTCAAATTTCATGCACAATATTTAATAAATAAGACTTGTTCACACACCACACTCTGAATATTAGCACCAATAGTGGTTTGTTTTATATTTATGACACATGACGAAGCTCACTTGTGAGCTGATGAACATGACATGTTTAGGCAGTATCAAAAATAATACTGAAAGGGTGAATTCTTTAACATTACCTAGCTTTATACTTTTGTATAATCTGATGTGTTTTTTTTTCATGTTTTGCTTAAGACTTTTTATAGCAGTGCTTGCCAACTGATTGTTACACTTAATTGTGCAATAAAACTAATAATATCTAAAATGACATGTGTCTCTTTGTGCTATCAAAATGTTATAACTTTGAGCTATGTTGAAAAAAAAATGCCAACAAAACTAGGTTGGAAAGCACTGCTCTATGGTAGTGCTAAGAACAGGCAAGATTGACAATCATTTTACTTGGTTGCTATTTCAAAGTAATCTTCAGTTCTTTTTACCTAGTCAACACAAATAATAAAAAGAACTTAAAAACTTGTGATATTTATAATCTAAACATATTTTCAATACTGCTTTATTGTGATGTTGGTCTGTTCTACCAATTTTTTAAATAAATTAGACAAGATGATGTGCTGCAAGTTGCCAAACATTATTCTTATTGATTCCAAAAACTTTGTTTAGGATCCATTCATGAGATCCGAATGACAAAAACTGATTACTTAGAAGCAGGGCCTTATGTAGTAGTAGTAGAATTATTAAAACATCAACATTGAGGGCCTAGAGAATTTAGTTTAGTTTCATTGACATCATCGTCTACTATGACTCATTAAATAATGGTTTTGCCTATGTTATTTATTTTAGGGGACATGTATCAAGGATGACATCTTTAAAACAATGATTAATAAATAAAAGCTCTCCAATAATAAGGCACCTAAAACAATATATATGTGTCATTTCAGTAAAAATAACATTTATATACAAAAGCTTAATAAATGCATTTTGCTGATGATAAAAAAAAAACAACCTCTCACATCACACAGCGCTATTTTTAGCTTAAGGCAGTGTTCTTATTTGAAACAAACCATCTTTGATCACTTTCATCTCATTCATGTTAAAAATAAAACATGTTATCACCAGGTTGGTATCTCAGGTCAAAATTATACATTGTATCTGTTGCTGTAGGCTTACGTGGCTGGGTTTACTTTCTAATAGGAGAGAAAAATGAAAAGCAGTTTAAAGTTTTTTGTGTTTTTTTTAAATTTACCTGGACTATTTTGCACAAAGGTGTAATTTCAATTGTGCCTTCTTTTAAAACGCTAGTTCACAGCTTGAACCCTTGTGAAAATTTGGACATATTCTGATTTTATCGCTAAATCCATTTTTATCTTTCACCGTTTTAAAAAAAATTAGCAAACTTTAATTTAATTCATTAGTACAACTTATCAGTTCTGCTAATTGCAAGAGCTTCAACTTTTGTAAACTCGCAACAACAAACACGGATCAAGTGATAAAAGATGCACTTTCCGCTCCCAAAAAAATTTCAAGACCGCCTCTGTTCCATAACAAAATCAATAAGCAAGTGTTATCACACAGGTTCTCTGCGGATGAAGATATCAGAAAACCCACTGCTGCCGGGCATGTCCTGTTCCAATTCCACCCAACCTTCAAACTCTGATTCCATCAGGATGTACTTTTTCACTTTCTCTGCGACAGGAAGTTGAGTTACTTTATACTGGATGGGTGACCCCAGTTGGGCTCGAATACATCGTCGGCACGCGTCACTCAGAGTGAAAGGTGTGCAAGTGTTCATGGCAAACAGATCAAATATGTCTTGCTTTTGCTTGGGTGTGTAATGTGTGTTTATCCCTTGTGTTCTCTTCAGCAGCACCACAAGTAAATGGATGACTTTGCATGGGATATGTCTGCAAAATGATAAAATACAAAACCTTAATGACACATCATATTAAGAAAATGTGTGCACACTGAAACATACTGGTTACCTTACTGGGGAATCGAAATAAATACTAATTAAATGGTAGGGATAACAGACCTGGTTACCCTGGAACTCCAAAAATAGTACAATATCACTGCACAAAATCGTACATTATCCTATTACAATAGTAAATTTTTTAAAATACAGTATAATAAATATAGTGGTGTATGAAAAGTGTGCGTAGGGGGCAGTCAGCCTTTAGTGTAATTTTTTTCTCCATATGGAGGGGAGGCAGTTTCAGATAACAGCAGTTTTTTTGTTGAAGGCAAAATTATCGGTCACCTTGGGGGTACCCACCCTAGCTACACCTCAGCTATTTAAATAAGAATTGCTGGATTAGGATTTATTTTTTCTATTGTTAATTTTAAATGACCTAATAGTTTTATTTTTTTGGCTACATTCGATTTTATGCTGTCCTAGACACTGATACCTAGTACACTGTTATTCCTACAAATTCAGGAAGAGGAAGTGGGGCTAATGCCTCCCTACCCTCCCCAAATGATGTCCCAGCTCCCCCTGCCCATAAGTAAGCTCCACCTGTAAGTCAGCCCCCCTACCCCACATTTCCCATTTAATATTATTATGAATGGTGCCAACCAATCTTATATCCTGGTCCAATCACTGCGGGATTAAAAAAAGAGCTTAAACCATGTTCTGTCAGACCTCAGCTTACAATCATAAAAGACATCTCAAAGCCGTATATATATTTAAATAACAAAATTGTAAGAGAAACCAGGTCTGAGATAATGTCAGTCAGGTCTTATAAATTTCTATCCTGAACAGCAAGAAGACAACAACTGCTTAAATTATATAAATGTAACTTCTATTTGATGTACAAACCTGTCGAAAAAATATCCCATAATAATTAGGTCTTGTACTTTAAATAAGGTCCTAAAATGTAACCGAAAGTGTTAGCAACACAATTTACTCAACAAGTAAAAACCCGAAACCTTTAAAACAAAAACATGTTGCAAAGTTTTAACATGACTTCTGAACTTGCCTGTAACACTGCAACAGCATTTTCATCATGTCCAGGTTTTTATGGGTCATTGACAGGAAGAGAGGCTCTAGGGCTAGGTGAGGATGGGGATCTTCATGTACCAAGCAACACAACTGAGGCAGCCTCACCTATTCACATGGTAACACATCTGAGGTTAACCTAACAATTATTGGAGTATATGGCTGCCTCTGCAGCCCATTTTGTGGCAATATTTTTTAGATAGATCTATTCCAAGAGTATTTTCAAAAGCATCAGATTTTAAATATTTAATTTTTCATGAACACACCACTAATGTATATCAATGCCATATGTACAACTATAAAAAGTCTAAAGGTATCAAAAAAAGCAACTAAAGCAACATATATAAAGCGTTGTTTTAATTCAATATTATCTTTTTAACAAAAAAAAAAAAATTAAATCTCCAGAAATAAATGAATAGTTAAGTTCATCCTGTAGCTGATTAATACAAGAATTGCTTATTTTTATTTAAATCAACAAACTGACACTGTCATCTATGTTACTGGAAAACTATTCTCCTCTTTCAATAAATCACAAATAATCTATTTTAGCTTAAAACTATTATAATTCAACAATTAGTATTTCATTAAATACGAAGAAAAAAAAATGATTTACTAAATTACCACCAATTGTCAGCCTGATTCCAAGAGCTGTTTTTATATTTTTATTTTTTCATTAAAATACAAAGAACCAACTTTTTTGTTTACATCTTCATTGCCCATATTTTTTGCAAATATGTTTAAACACACATAAACACACACATACATATATACATATTGGCTTTGTTTCTAAAAATATTTGAAGACCAATTAGATTACGAGAACAAAGCCAAAAATATTTTATTTAATCAAAGGAAAGAAGACTGAGAACAAAAAACCTTGTTATGGGCCTCCAGATCACAGCCACACTGTAAGAGTGCTCTCACAGCTGAGAAATTATCTTCTGCCAATGCAGCCATCACTGGTGTTTCACCTTTTTCATTCATCTGTTCAAATGGAAGCCAAGAAAATTTAATAAAAATCACCTTTTTTTAAAATGGGAATACATTACTTTTATGTCATGAGGTGGAAAAATATGGTCGCAGGTAATAACGTAATAAAAAGTTCAACATATAGGAACAACAACTCTTTTGGAAAACTTTTAAAAATATTTGTTTGCACCGATGAGGGAGTTTAACATGAAGTTTTACTGAGAGGAATAATCACCGGCTGTTTAAGTCCCATTGACTTACCTGATTCAAATTACAACCATGGTCAGATAAAATCTTAATTGTGCTCGCTCTGCTCTGTGATGCGGCAGCATGAATGGGCAAGGCAGACACAAATGCGCTAGTGGTGGAGCAGCCCTTTTTGCCCAGCATGTAGGCAACAGTCTCAGTGAGACCACGCCAGCAGGCAAGGTACAGAGGAGATTTCCTCTCAGAGTTTGTAGCACTCAAGCTGCTACCTAAATCAAGGGAAGAAAGCACAACAAGAATTAATTTACATTTTCCCTATTTGCTAGATGATTTTTTTATAATATATATTTATATATAAAATTTAGTTTGATCTCTTTTAAAAACATGCAGGTTAAAAAGCTGCAATTGTCATTAGGTAAATCCAATGCAGTATTTTAATATGATTTAACCCAGAAAACTTAGAACATGTGCTTGCTTAAGATGTTTAAAAAAAAAAAATCTTGTTTAAAATCCTTTGCTATAGTAAAGGAGCTCATGCTAAAAATAATCCTCCCTCTGTAATCAAAGTCATTGTTAGACTAATACTACATTCAAATCATGTTAGTCCGGATAACAAAAATTCTTATATTACTGATAGATTTTTTAAACAAAAATTCTTATATTACTGATAGATTTTTTAAAAAGTGTTTTTTGTTGTTTTTTTACCTTTATCAATGAGCATATGAGCTGCCGATATGTAATGCTGACACACTGCTTCATGCAGGGCTGTCTGTTTTGTGACCTTGTGACCAATGTTTACATCACTGCCTGATTCTAGAAGCAATTCAATAATCTGGAAATAACATGCATTTTTAAAGAAAAATTATTCATCACATAATAAGCTTTGCATTTTAACTAGGTTATATAGTTATAAGCCAGACTGAAAGAACTTTGAAGACAGTTGCCTGGTACTGTGGAATGATGTTGGAAAAAACTATGAATTTGCCTATGTAAGTTTTTCAAACGGATAAATGACAAAATATTAGCATAGTATTCTTTGTGCACAAATACTTCTGAATATAAGAGCAGCTCTCTGCTATAACTCACTGACCCTCAATGTGATATTGTTTTTTCCAGTTTTTGAAAAGTGTTTAAGTGGAGCAAATAATGGACAATGAAGTTAGAAGTTAATATAGTTGTCACTTGTCTTACTTCCATGAAGGGTTGTATACATTTATTTTTGCGTAGTAAAGATTGTTATAGTCTAGGGAAAGTTTGAACTATTATAGGGTCATCTTAAAGATTTTATTTTCTCCAATGATGGCACAACTACTAAAAAGCTAACATAGATAGTTTTCATTTTTAAGAAAATTTGATACTGGTTGATGATTACTCATATTGAAGTAACTCATTCCTTTCAAATGTTTTTATCATGTGCTGATGAATTTGATGAAAGTAGATCCTACAATATATTGAGAGATCTAAACATAGAGTTTGTCTTATCTTTTAATGAATCATGTGTCTGAATTGAAGTACAGAAACCACCAGATAGTTCTGAGGCTTGACAGTCAAAGTAAAGCTAAGATCAGTGGTTCCCAAGTTTGAAATCTCCACAAGCACATCTCCGAGGTTCAACGACAGCTCCCTCCCTCTGTAACACCAGGAGTAGTGTTAATTCCACAAACTTGTAAAACTTAGGGGCTCCACCCACATAGAAAGTGACTCTAAAAAGGGCTCCTTGAGTAAAAAAGATTTCTGTGGATCTCTGTTCACATTCTCCCTACATTATCAAATTTCAAATGCCATTTAGCTCACAAAGTTTTGTATGCTATGATCACCTTGATGAAAGAGATTGTAAAACACTGAGTCAATGGACACAGAAGTTAATTTTAAGTATTTATCTTATGTGAACCATGATTACCTTGATGTCACATCGTGAAGAAAGGGCAGCCAGAAGAGCATGTTGGCCATAGTCATCTACTGCATTCACTTTGCAACCTGACAAAGAAAATGCTTTTTCTCTTAAACCTGATCCAAACCATTGCTTATGTGTCCCGAATGATGTCCTTTTGGCCAAAGCAATTGTGATAGTAATTTTCAAGGTAAAAAAGGACTTAAAGACATTACATAAAAAATCCTTAAGAGTTAAAATACAAATAATCCTAATCACTACTTAATTTGCTTTGCCACAGATGATTATTGTAGAGAAGTGTATGTAAGTTATAAGTCAAGATTTGCTAGGCTTAGCTTTGAAAGGTATTTCGTATCAATGAAAATGTATGTTTAGCCAAATCCAATCAATATTTCCTTTTTATTAAATAAAAAACTATTTTAGGACATTACATAAGGAAAAGCTTATGTGTGTGGTTGAGGGGGAGATGTGGATGGAAGCACGTTCATCTAGCACATGCATAATGTTGGTTTTTTTTTAAAACAAGAAGATAATACTACATTCAAATCATGTTCTACTTTTATCATATTGATCCACATCTTCCAATAATATTAAGATATAAACATATCACAGGGAGATTTTGATGGAATCGATATGTAAAAAGACAATGCAGCATTTGATATAATTTAATTTAAATTAAGACTTAAAAGATAGCTTTCACTAAAATCAAAAATTGTATTAATTGTATCAATTAATTAATTAAGCGAGACTCATTCATGCCAAATGGAACCCAATGCATATCAGTATGTCATTCTGCCTGGTTCTAAATTTAAAAGTGGAAGTTTTTATGCAACTTTTTTTTTTTATATACGATTATTAGTATATCTTTATTACTGGTACATGTTAATCTGATGTGAACAAAAAAATAAAGTATTTGTTCTTGCACTGAATTACTAACCTGCATCAAGGCACAGCTTTACAATGTCCCAATTGCCTCCATACACAGCTGCATGCAGGATAGATCCCCCTTTTAGGGTTACCTTATCAATAGCAGCTCCTTTCTCGTGCAAGAATTTACAGAGATCTGAAACATCAAATTATTTATTAGTAATGAATATATCATTTAAGAAATAATTAACAAACAAGGTAATAACACTTTGAAAGACAAATTTAAACATTACTTGGGGATTGGACTTGCAATCATTTTATGATAAAATGCTTTTATCTATTAAAATAAATGGACATTTGTTTTGATTGCATTGCACAAATTGTTTTCCGTCTTGAAAGTCTTTGTCTGAGTTTTTGTTGTTCCTCAAAATCATTCTGTAGCAAGGCGTTCAGTGAGTCATTGTGTGATCGGAACAGCTGTTAGATTCTTAAGCGTACATTGGCATTTTGAACAGAGTCTTGGATTTTTGTTCGCGCAGAGTTCTCAGTTTTTTTCAAAGATCATGGATAATCATGTCAGTAGCAGATTTGTCTTCAGCCGGTCCCAATATAATGGATGTCAATATGTATTGGTTTATGCCTACCGTGTCTAAAATAAATTACATCTAACCGCTGTTACTCTTGATAAAAACACAAGATTCTCAGTAAAAAGCACATTTAACACATACCTCTGAGTAGATTAAAGCCTTACACATTTATCAAGCCATGTATAACAGAAATAAAGCCTAGAGGGATTCTTAATAGAGATTTAAAATGATTACCTAAATCACCAGCTGAGGCAGCCTGATAAAGTGGAGTCCAATGCTCTCCATCATATTTATTTACATCAGCTCCAGCAGCCACCAGCTCCCCAACCAAATTACGCATCTCTTCATTATCACCCGGATCAAACATGTTGGACACTGAAAGAGAACAAAATATATTTCTGAAATAATGATGCTATCTGTGCTTTTTATAGTAACCTTATTTCCAAAAGTAATGAACCCCTTTTTTTTTTTTTTTTTTTTAGATTTTTTTTTTTTTTTTTTTTTCCAGAAATTTACATTTTAAATTTTTTTTAAAAATGGATGAGCCTTTAAATTTAATATTTCTAAAGGGTTGTGAGTTTGGTGTAAAAATTTGACATTACATTAAATTTGTTTTAAAAAAAAAAAAAAGAGAGAACTCGATTTACAAACATTAAGTTAAACAATGGAATTGTTGAAAATGATTTACAATATTTCCCATCTTACCCTGCCTTATGACTGCATGAATTGGAGCCCAGTGCAGCCTATCTGCCTGGTTAACATCACATCCAGACTGAATGATAATTTTAGCAGCTCCTGTATGATTGCTTGAAATTGCTTCTAAAATATGACAAAACATTAATCATTTGATCAGTGATATAAAAACACTTTTAAATTATTATGTCAATTCCACTACATGCTGGATTTTAGCCATTTAAGACTCTCAGCTTTTAAGTTTTTGGGGGGAGCAGTGATTCTGTTAGGCATCATATATATAGTCACTTATTCATTCCCACCATCAGGTTTTTAGAGCGAGGTTGAACAGCTATCAATAGTCTGCTGCTAGATCTGAGTATTAAACTAAATTCAAAATTTTCAACACAACAAAATCTATTCAACATAATTCCTGATTAAATATTCTTGTTGAGACGCCTTCCTGTATTTCTGGTAAAGTTGTCTAGGTTTTGTTTTAACACTGTGTCACTCTCATCCCACAAGGATTACAGTAATGCTTGGGAACACAAATTAAGTAGTAAGGCTTTTTGAAATTAAAGTTATTCTTTAATATTCATACTCTTCAGAGATGAAAATCCATAACACTTAATACTTTTAACAACACAATAATAAGAACTCTAGCACTCCTTTTTATTCCTCTTGTTTAATCTAAGATCCACTCACTCAAAAACAAACATAAATCTAAAGCCATCAAAACAATGTGTCATCTCTCATACCAACAAATGTCACAAATACAAACAACAGCTACACAATAAATCTCAACACCAAATACGCTCACTAACCAATCATTAACAATGCGCACAGCTCAATGTAACAACCGTTCATACTAAGAAATACTAAGAACAGTGATTCTCATACCCTTGACAATTCCCATTCTGCCCTTAGGCCATGTTAAATATAAATATAAGAATTCTTTTATTTCTAATATCTGGATGAGTAATTACAAAATAAAATAAAAAATTAATTAAATTCTAAATGCTTCAGTAAAGAAGTAAAAATTTTGATGATTAGAATGCCATATGTGAAAAGTTAAATTAAGTTAAATTTTGATATGTTGGAACATTGTTTCCTATCCATGTCAATATACTCTGTACCCCTTTTGAATTATTTGACTAGTGTTGCACCCCTTACAATTTGTTTTGCTAAGTCTCAAACCCCTTGCAAAAGTAACAATGAATTTTAAAAGTTAAAAATAATAGACTCAGAAAATAACTTTGTGACTTATGTCTTATATATTTTTATTCTGGTGTGACCTGTTTCCTCTTCAAAAAATGGCCCCTCCCCAGCTCCACATGTTTCATATTAATAGCACGAGTGAAAAAAAGGCTGTCATGCATAATGTGTGAACTCAGATCAAAAAAAAATTTTTGGAGGAGGTGACTATTATATTAAACAATAAAGAGCCACGGGTGTGGTGAAGGACTGTCTGTAGGACTATTATTTATAGGACAGCAAGTAGGGTTTAGGACTATCTGCAGGCCTATTGTTTAAAGGCCGGCATGTATTAATATATAGTAAATGAGAAGTTAACTATTTTTTTTTTGATAACACTTGGACTCACCGGATATTTTCTCAAAAAAATCTGCACCCAGTCGGGCCCTAGTCATCTTATATTTTATTTGAAAATGACAATACTTTTATTTTAAGTGCAGCATTTTTTAATCCCTTCCTGTCCCTACTCAAATCAGTTGAACAGACAAACAAAATAAATGACTTCAACCAAGCCCTATCATTTTGCAGTTCTCCCTGACACAACCTAAAGTTTTATTTTGTACACCTTTTAATCATCTTTTTGTACTGGGCAGGTTGCTGATGAAGGCTTCTTGCCAACACATTTGTTGTTTCGTTAAGTCTTTTTTTTTTTTTTGAAGTTTTCCCCTACCTTGTGTTTTTATTTCCTAATTTCAACCCGACCACAGTTCTCACCCTTCATCAACATTGCTGGCTGTCCTTAATATTTTCCAATGATACAAACTACTTTACAAAATGATTGTTAAGCATGCCAAATTTGGATTGTGTCATTTTTTAAATATGTTTACCTAAAAGTGGGGTGATCCCCTTCGTGGTGGAAAGATTCAGGTTAGCCTTGTATTTGACTAGAGAGAGAAGAATATTGTTATGTCCGCTACTTGCAGCTTCATAAGCTGCTGTCCTCCCTGTGCGGCTTTGTCTGTTCACATCAGCCCCTTCAATTATTAACACATGTTTAAATGGAAACATGAGGCCAAACAAAAAGTTATACATTTATTTTAGAATACAGAGCATGCCCCAATATAGCATTAAATAATTTAATTTTATAATGTTGATGTAATTATAATTATTTTTAAATTATACATATATTTTCAGTGCTCATCAAATTTTCATTCAGTTCTATTATAATATTACTGTAATAATTACAAACACTAAACTGCTTATTTCAGGTTTTTTTTTAAATAGGAAAGCATAAAAGTTTCTTTCACTAAAAGGTGAGGATTTCTTGGTTATATCCTTGGTGCTAACTTAAACTACATTGATAAAATGCAAATCTCTACCTACTTTTTAATGGCTATATGTGCAAATGAAAGGTTTCTCTCTAGAACAAACTAACCTCCTTCCAAAAGTGCATTGACTACATCCAAATGTCCAGCTTCTGCAGCTGCCATCAGGGGGGTCTTGAGGACATAATCTCCCCAATCAGGGTCAGCCCCTGCCTTCAGCAGCTGCTTTACCATAGTAGCATTTCCTGCCTGTGACACACAGTACAATGGTGTGTGCCCTCTGCTGTTGGCTAGGTTCAGGCTACATTTAGCTGAAATGAGAATCTGCATTCCCCCAAAAATGTGTTTTGGTAAAAGTAACCAAAAATAAAAAAAAATTTCATCTGAAGCATTTGTTCACAAATATTAATTAATAAGAAAATAAAAAAAACATGAATGGCTTTATTTATTTGCTAGCTTGCTAAGGGCTGGATCAATCATTAATCAAAGTAAGCATATGCTTAGGACAGCAAGGACTATGAGGCACAACAGAAATACATTTTCTTTTGCCAAATTTTAACAATGGCAATGTGGTAACAAACATTGAATCTTGCAGCGGAACAAGGTTCTCGAGAAAGAGGCCCCAAGCAGCAAATAGTTTTATGAGAAAAAAAATTACATGCCCATAACTGTATGCAATATAAAACTATATGCACTAATTGGCACATGAGAAATGAATGAATCAATCAAAGGGTAAAATTTTGTTAATGTTGTTAATTTAGGGGCTCTTAAATCTTTTTTAAGGATTAAGGTTTGATTCCAACCATGCTGGTACCGGTACCATTGTCAAATTGTTGCATTACCAACTGTTTTTGAGCAACTAGTGAATTAATGAGTTTAAGATAGTTCAAGATTTTAAGAAAATTTACCTCTTTGCATTATATTTGAACAATTACAATTATATTATTTTTAGTACTGTTGTTAGGTTTTTAAAAAAGTTAATCAATTGAGAGGTAGATTAAAAGAGCCTTAAAGCAATGAAACTCACATCTCCTAGATTTTAACATTGCTTTTATTTTTATTTTATTAACTTCTCTTTCATAAGTGCTGGCCTTTTCTGAGATAAGCTTTTTGATAAGATAAGATGTGCCCTTGTCACCATGAAACATAGCAATCTTTCTTATGAGGTGTAAAAAATCACAAACTTAATTACCTACCTCAGCAATCTCCGAGAAACCTTTGTAGGCACAAACATTCAATGAGGAATTCCCTGATTCATTTTGTGAGTCAACATTGGCTCCATTTTCAATAAGCAGCTGGGCAACATCAACATAGCCCCTCCAACAAGACATATTGAGCAATGAATTCCCATCTGCATCTGCCTGGTTGACATTGGCACCCTGGTTTTTGTTAGAAAATTTTATGCAAATGCCCATTGTAAAAATTGTAAACACACAAAATCCATTTATAGTCCAATACCAGAATCAGTTGGTGGTTCTTCCTTTTAAAACCTATTAATACATGACATTTCTGTTTGTTTGTTTAACAGTTTATCAATTTTGCCATTTTTGAGGCAACATTTCTCAGAGTTCGGTTAATCCCAAAGAGCAGAAAAGTGTTAAACAGCTTAGGGTGGTAACACATTAAAATCTTCAAAGTTTGGCCAATATTCAATTTAAATATTCTATAATGTGTCAGTTTAAATAATTCTACATTTAATACAGGCAATAGAACAGTGTTTCCCCAAAATGGTGGTCTGCAGAGCCTTACCTTCCTGGTCTGCACAACAGGAAAAAAAGGAACTGGATAAAAAGGTTAAACTGCATTACAAGAAAAGCTTTTAACACCTAGCATTAAATGGTAATAGTTATAAAGTCTTTTAAATTGGCTTATTGCGGATTCAAGAATATTTAATGATAAATTTAGGATCAAATAAAAAGCTAAAATAATTAATAAATCTGGCACCAGTCCTCGGTGCAATGGGATACTTATCCACTGGTACATTAGACTTAAAAGTTTTGGAAACATTTCTCTAGAAAACATTTCAAAATTGATATAATTTTTAATTTCCTGTATGCACACAAAAATCATTGAAAATAAATTATTTTTCTTGAGGGCGCTAAATAGTGACATCCTGTTTTGTACCATGATCTTCATTCATATGAAAAGTTCTAACGAATACATGAATCATATTATAAATGGCTGAACTTTTTTTTAATATTTATTTATTAACCCATGAACTGTGGCATAGATCATTCTGAAGTGTGGAAGCTTTTCAGAGCCTTTTGAGTGCTTTTAGAAATAGCATTAAATGACATAGAAATATTGATACAAGTCTCAATAAGTAAATACTTTTAGAAAGGTAAATGGATGTGGATGAAGTTGGCTATATTGCCCACACATTAAAAAAAATTTGTTCAGTGTCCTTGACCTTGGAGTGCTCAAGGAAAAAAAAAAATGTCAAAATGTCTTGCTTTCAAGTGCTCATAAGATCATTAATTTTTATATAGATTCCATTAAAATACTAATGTAAATGTTGTTGCCTATTCATTTAAATTACAGAAAATGTATAGGTTGCTATGGTTTTGTTTACAAAGCGATTTTAGTAATTTTAGGTCATTTATTACTGAACCTGGGACCACAGCTAAAACCAAGTACAACATACAAAAATCTCAGGGAAAAAAATTATTATTGACTAGTAAACATTTAAAAACGAACAGTGGCACTGATTTGGGTTGTTTAACTATAAAATGTATTATTTCTGATCTATAATCTGATCTATAATCTTTAGCTTCTGTGACTAAAATTCAGTCAGTCTTTGCCCAAACTCAAGGCCTGGGCTCGAAGTCTAACAGTAGGCCTACTTCAGTATCAATAAGACTAGTATCAGATCATGACCCACTAGAGTTCTAGATCAGATTCACTAGAGGAAGAATCCTAAATGAGATCGTCATGGGGAATGTTAAAATCATCATCAGTATCACTTAAATCCTCTCCTTAAAAATATTTCTATTACTTCTCGTACTGAAGGCCCAGCCATGGCTTCATCCATTTTAGCTTTAAAAAAACAGCGATATAAAACTCCTATTAAAAAGTACTTATTGCTAAGTTATCAACAAACAACTTGACTCGGAAGATGATTTAATTATTTATAAAAGGGAAGTGGCTATAATTCCGGTTGAATATTGGACCGTGTTTTTAATTGTGCGATTTTTTCGGCCTCCACAGTACAGAACAAGAATATCGGCCGATTTTTTCAGTCGACAACAATTCATGGGTTAAAAAAATATTTGTTTAAATTTAGATTTTAATAAATATATCAATCACTTCAGTCTAGTATAAAAAGAATTAAAATATTTAACTGAACTAACCTTCGCCACCAGGAGGGAACAAATTTCAGCAGAGCCTTGGCACACAGCAAGTTGCAGTGAAGTCTGGCTGTTGTATTGGAAATCAACTTCAAATTCAGTATTTAATATATCTTTTACAGTAACTACATCTTTTTCTGATATTGCGTGCTGAAGTTGTCTTATATTCCTTCGCTTTTCTCTTTTCTCAAAACCAGACGTCATTTTTTAAATAAAAAACCTCTGTTAAAAAAAAAAGAAGTGCAGGGAATATGATGCAATAGAGGTATTAAATATTATGAGGAATTTGATATTTATTAATTTAAATTACCAGCATCCAGTTTTACATACAATAAAATAAATTTTCTAGTTTATGTTGAGATCAAAAGATACTATTGGATTCATTCACTAAGCATGTGGTCTTGAATCTTAATCTTCCTAAAAAGAGTTAAGGGGTTTAGTTTCTTCATTTTAGTCATCGATTATGTGATACTAATATTTTCTAAAATGTAAGTATAGTTAACTCTATTTATAATTGATACTGCTTAGAGCTAAAGTGATTTATCTTCAGCAATAGTTTTTTGTTTTTTTTAAGGGACTCACATTCTGGTCAACAGTTTAGAAAGTTAAAGGCTGGCGATGTGTTCCTTGTTATATAGGTCTTAGATGTTCCCCCGGGTCAAATTTCGTCTACAGCCCAGTGTTTAAAAGATTTTGATCTTTGTGTTTTACTTAATCCAAGTTTTTTTGTTTTCTCCTTTTTTATTGTTATGAAGAGCTTGTTTACAACACTTTCCCTGTGCGTGCACTCTGGTTGACCCCACATGAGACACTACTTTCATAGATGGGCGTGGCTTAGTCTTTTGATCTGTCGTGTTTATTGCCGACAGCAACTAAAAATAATTAATTTGTTCTCAGTGGTGTTTTGTCGAATGTTCACGATTGTATTATAAAAGTAAAGGCATTTCTGGACGCGTCGGTAGACCCACAATATAAATAAAGGGTTTCGGAGAGAGGGAAAGAGATTCAGACGGAGATTGAGATAGACGGAGATAGATATTATTAACTTTACGAGACAATTGTATTATTCTTTGTGTGCTCATATGTGATTATTCGCATTCATCATTATTAATTGGCACATTGTACTAACAACTGAGTACTCTGTAAGTTGATGATTTGTAATTATATTTCTTTTGTTTTGTAATTGTATTATTACTAAATTAAATCTTATTAATTGTGATTGGTACTGTTTTGGGTGTTGTATTTTTGTTATTGTATTTATCTATGGTATCGTCCTTTGTTAGGCACTGTTTGAACGAGCCATAACTTAAAACAAGAGATTAATTTCTCATTATTTTTTGAAAAGTGGGGTTCTGGAGAGAGGTCTCCCCTCCCCAGGAAATTATGTTTAAATGTCCCGTGAAATGATAGAAATGATTAGGTACGTGAGTATAAATTTTTTTTTGAAAATGAACAAATTATCAAATTAGTACAGACTAATGGAGCAAACTTAAATTAAAAAATGAAACCAAAATCAACTTCTTTAGTAGTTCTCACACATTCTGTGACCTTATTCCTCTCTTTGTGTCAAATACTAAAACTCTTGTTGAAGTTAACAAGTAATTGAAAGATGTTATGCAATTATAAATAAATTGTAACTTATCAAACTATGCACTTTGAATACCAATTAAGTAGTAGTCTCCCTTGTTTTACCAAGGTTTTAGCCGATACTTTGATTTTCAACTAACAAAAGACATCCCAATTAGTAAGCGTCTTTTTTTCACTGGTTTTCATCTTGGGTATCAGCAAGGATGTGTTTCTTTTATTGTTTCTTTTAACCTTGCAAGTGGAAATTTAATAAAAAGTCAATGTCAGATGTAGTTTATAACACAAATATTGCTCAGTGAAGAACAGGAAAGCTATCACAAATATGGTTCAGGTCTGACAAATTCACTCTTAGTCCAGTGATGGGATTTCCCAAAGTGATGTCATGCGATTAGGATGAGACAGTTCTTGGCAAAACCCATACCCATTCTGCTAAAACAAATTTTGGCAAAATTTATCGGTATTACCAATTAATATTAATAGGCTTATAAATATATTTTAAAAAAATAATCAGTGATCGTGGGCCCTCAAAATAAAGAAGAAGAAGAAGAAGTGTCGAATAGCTTTGATGCCACGCATGGCCATGAAACAAAATTTGGTAACTACTATAATAGGCCTATTTATTCAATCATGCCATTTCAGAAATGGCAGGGCATGATCATGATTACATAATACATAAATATGTTATACTTTATACTACATTAGACTACATAGTCAATTAAATAGGCCTTTCGTCTTCGTACTTTTTATTTAAAATAATTGATAAATTGAAATCACATTTTTTGCCAAATCAATCTAAACTGTGACCTTTTGTTATTCGGTTTAGCCAAGTAGGCCTATACTGCACAATTTGAAGTCAGAACACTTATCATTTAATTTAATGATTAAAATTTGCCAACTTATTAGCCTAAGGCTAAGGCCCAAGCCTAAGTCCCTTTAAACAGCTCAATATATGAAAATGATCACCTTTTATAGACGAAAATTTCGACGAAAAGAATACTTGAACTTGAATATCTCAAAATATTTATTTTGTGACTTAATCTTAAAAAGTTTCTAAGACCCAGGCCGACTGAGGCAGCTAATTCAAAAGGCAGGCAATAAATTATTTTAAAAAGCAATGAAATGAATGCCAAAGGCAAAGGCAAGGCAAAGGTCTTCTATTGATTCTTGCAGTTTTTATTGCATAAAATAATAGGCTTAATATATGTTTTTATTTAATATAGTTAAAGGTCTTACTTTAGGTACAATCTCTTACAGTGATCAGATTGTTGTTGCAGTTGAATAGATTAATGAAAATGAAAGTGTTAAAATTATTAAGATAACTTCTAAAAATCGTACTAGAGAGCTCTTCAGTCTAAAAAACAAATTACGTGCAGAGTAGAAAGACCTGCTACCAGACCTTGGGAAATTTCCCCATATCCTGGGAATTTTAACACAACACTCCCCCCCAAGTCAAAATTTGGCCTCTCTTCACCTGTAGATTCTGTTGCAGGAATGGAACAATGACAAGGCTCAAGTGTCATGTGCAGTCAAGATAAATGATATTGATAGAGTAGGAATACGATATTTTGAGAATTAGATGAATGTAAAGTGAGTAACAATAATAACATCGCTGCTTGAATGGATTTGCAAAATCTGTAACATCTATTTTGCATCACAAGTTATGTTGAAAAAGAATGTTCAACATAACCGACAATGCCCTCTTTAGCATAAGAAATTAGGATCTGCTCCTCAACAAAAAAGGATTGGACTAATGCGAGTAGCTGCAAGGAGATAGAGAGAGCTTATGGCAATTATTGCTCACAACGACAACGTTTCTATTTTAAGTGCTGAATGGTTAGACGAGGAGGATGTTGACTTGTCTGTAAACTGTAAAGCCTATCAGTGCTGCAAGATGAAAATGATTATTCAGCTGCTATAGACTATTCGCATCAGGGGCGTCATTTCAGTTTTCTTTTCATTGGGGAGGCAAAACCAAAACTTAGTCGGCTTGTTAAGTTGTTTATTACTGGAGGCGCCACAGTAAATAGCAATTTAAATAACACCTGCGAATTAGGGTGTGGGGGCAAATGCCCCTTGCCCTACCCAAACCATTTGCCAAATGATATCACTGATGCCCATTGTTACGATAGAACAAACCCGGCTACTCCTTGGGAAGATTATAGCCGCTGGAAATTTTCCCCTACATTTTTATTGTCATTAAAATAGATCAGCACATGATCAGCAGAATGTATGCCTATTTATACATTTATTTATAATATTATTCCTTTTTTCGGCCGGGGGGGGGGAGGGGGGTTAGAAAATGTTGACATAATTAAATAGGGGGTCATTGAAAGTTTGACAGTTGTTGACAAGGGGGGGGGGAAATTACTAAAAAGTGTTGACGTAATTAATGGACGACCCCTATGTCGCACATGAAAAGAAAAAGAAAAAAAACGATGCTGGGCTATGATTTTAAAGACTACCTTCTCCACCTAAAAATAAATACAATTTAAATTACGTTTCTTCTCTTAAAAATTTCTGAAAAAAAAAAGAAGAATAGCAACAGTAGCAGGCTTCATTAACAAGTTATTGACTATAGTCTGAGTTATTTTTTTATATTTTAATTTAAATCATATTTTAATATTTTAGGTTGATTTTAAAAGCGATATTTACTATGTTACAAATTTAATTAATATTAGACTAATTTATTAAAGCTAGGAAGCACCATAAAATTATGAAATGAAACAAAGTATCAAACTGGGCCTTATCTACATTTTTTATTTATTTGGAATAGATCTCTTATTCCCTGAAACTAAAAGATGACAGTTTTATCTCGGATCTCGGTAATACTAAATGAGTCTAGACTAAACAGACTAAACAAACATCTAAGAACATCTATGACATGGTCATGGTCGTTTTTAGTGTATGCCTAAAAAAAGACAGTGCATTCTCAAGCCAGTAAATTCAATAATATAAATGCCTACTATATCATAAATTTAAATGCTAGGTGTTCTATACACTAATACTACTACACTGACTACAGTTACAGGTTTGTAGGCCTACATTATCATTTTTCATGCACATGAATGATGAATAATAATTATTATTATTATTATAGTATACTATACTATACTAAGTATAGTATAGTATATTAAAATTAAAGGGTCGTTTATTAAGTAACATTAAATAAGGAGCCTACATTATAATATAGACATAAGATTAAGATAATATAATAAATGATAATAAGAGTATTAGTTTATACTTATAAACATTAAAAAACTGGTTTGTCAGTCAAATGAAACGATATGGCATGGAGCTTATCTGAAAGATTTATCACAGCTTGACACTGCTGACACTTGACTGAGACATTGACTCGCTAGTGACTAGAGATTATCATAGGACTGTCACTGTGTAGCCTACTGTTTAGTCGGTAAATAGTAATGTATAACAGTAAAATTCATTAATAATACAGCAGTAGGCTTATTAACTTTAACTAATTAACTTATTAATTCACTGAAAGAAAGTATGATGAATGTATTAATTAATAATTAAATATTAGTATTAATTAGTAATTAGTACTATTAGTATTAGTAATATATTATTATTATATATATTTTATATTTTTTTAAAGTCACATCAGTCACTTGGTATCAGCTGATTTCAATGATTCAATCATTGATTTAGATTACTCATGATTAGTGATTAAGGCCTAGTAGGGGGCCTAGCCTAGTGGACATTTTTATTGACATGTTTATTATAGTTTATACTAATACTAGGTCAAAAACATGAAAATAATTTTATAGTATTGTATACTACTGTATGAATGGCCTTAGACTTTAGACTTAGAAATAGTATAAGTATAAGTATAGTCTGACTAGTATAGTAATAGTATAGTATACACAGTGTAACACAGCAAACATTAGACCCTTCCAATATGCATTTAAATATTACTTCTTAGAGCTAACTATTTTTAACAAAATTTCTTTGTTTCTCAAGTCTCAAGACTTAATTAAGAAGTATAAGTATAGAAATTGGAGCATCAGCATGTCATAGTCATAGTCATAGTCATGGTCTTAAAATTGTATTGTGTTAACTCACTATTAGTAGTATTATTGCCTTCACTGACTCCACATAAGCCAGTGAAGGTGAGTTTAGTTCCTTGGTCCACTTAGAGTTTATCAGTAAAAAAAAAAAAATCTCCACATTTGCGTATCATTATGATATTTAATTATGAGCCTGAATGCAAAATTAAAATTCACAAATTTACAGTATTTTTATTTTAGGATGCAATCACTAACTGGGCATTTCGTGAAAAATATCCCAAAGAGTTCATGCTGCCTATGACTAAGATTAAGATCTTCAAAAAACTTAATTCCTTTTTGATTTTGTCTTCAGTCTTCAGATTTGATAATAAATGACACCAGGGTGCAAAATTGGTCCAGTAGTTTCATGTCGTCAATGATACCTCCTGTTTATAAATTTTTAAAAATTTTTATGAATTCAATACGAATACAAGGAATATTCATATACTTTTACTTTTTGACTTATTGTGTTCTTTTCTGCAAACTTATTTTCACGGAATAAATGAATCGTTCTTATTTATAGTGCATTAGCAAGTTAAGAGCTCTGAAGACTGAAGAATCAAACATGTGAAAATTGAAACAATACTTTTATTTTTATATTGCCAAGGCCAAGGATTTTCAAAAGGATAATATTTTATTTTAATTAAAAAAAGGAGGACTTGTCTGCATTTTAGATACCATATAGCAACGCTGATTGAGATTGACTTACTAAGTTAGTTATACTAGGACTAGTAAAACTACCGATTTTTTTTTTTACTAATAAGAATACATTTACTGTGTAGTCAAAGTAAGTTTGTAGTGTGTGATAGAGTGTAGCCAGTGTAGAGTTGTTGACTACTGTCAATAGTGGCTATATTTTGCTATATTTTGTATACATAACAGATAGGAGTAACAGGACTGTTAATGTTGATGTTCAAGTTAGTTATGAAAGTGCTGGTGTCAGTGCTACTATGAGTTAAATTTTTAAAAAGTTAAAATTATTATTAGGTGATTAGAGCCCATGGGGCTATAGACCTAAAAATTCACAAACTGACACTGTGAAAGTGTGACATCACATAGTTGGACAAATATAGTTATTACATAAAAGTAGCCTGAATAGACCTATAGGTTTGTAATAAAGCCCATTTGAGCAGCCGAAGCCCAGTACTCCCAATTCAGTTGGCTAAAGTAAATTAGGATAAGAAAGGGGAGAGACTGCAATCAGGTTAGGTAAAACGAAATGAGCTAAACAAAGTATGGGAAAACCTGAGGAAGAAAAAAATAAATAGTAGTACAGATCTGCCTAATTAAACATCAATACTTTTCAGAACTTTTTAGATTGAGAGCTTGGATAAAAATAATTAGATTGAATGATACATTAAAATTGAATTCAATAAATATGACTCTCCAACTGAAAGAGTTTTTGAGTTGGAGGGAGGGAAGAAGGAAGGCTTATTCATCATTTACTATCAATCAACACCAAATTAGAGTCAGTTGCCCTGCATTGAAGTTAATCAGTTGCGTATAGCCTAGGCTGGTCATGGCCATTTCATTTAATTAAAAAGTAAGCTCACTTGGGCCAGTTATGCTTAGGGGTCATCCATAAATGACGGCCAAGGGGGGGGGGGGCTTAAGCAATGTGACGTCGTCACATGAAAAGCGGAATATTATAGTAAAGAATTGCACATAATAACCCTAAATTAAAGACATTTTAACTTTATTCTTTTATACAACAATAATTTCATTTAATTAAAAAGTAAGCTCACTTGGGCCAGTTATGCTTAGGGGTCATCCATAAATGACGGCCAAGGGGGGGGGGGGGCTTAAGCAATGTGACGTCGTCACATGAAAAGCGGAATATTATAGTAAAGAATTGCACATAATAACCCTAAATTAAAGACATTTTAACTTTATTCTTTTATACAACAATAAAAATTATTTTATTTTTCAACTACGATCACTGAGAAAATCAGTACAGGTATGCGCGGTCCGAAAAATCGCCTCTGATCAAGTTACATGCCGCCACTGAGGAGAAATTGGGTGTAGTGATATTGACTGTTGAGAGAATTTATGTCAAAATTTGGAGACGGGAGTTATAGAATTAGGACTACCACCCTCAGGAAATGGGATGGAGACGGGAGTCATAGAATTAGGACTACCACCCACAGGAAATGGGATGGAACAAAAAAAAGTGGTTGTTGGGGAATGATCTTAGTAAATGCTCCAGGGCAGAAATTCTTAAACTTTTTGCAGCGCTAGAA